TCTGCATAATCCTTCTTATTCTAACTTGTCTGCAAAATTCAACATTAATTCTGTCTTCGAAATACAGATTTTCCTTATGTTCACCTTTCATTTTATATTTTGTTCTATATCTAACTTGTCTGCAAAATCCTTCTTACTTTAACTTGTCTGTCAAATTCAAGATTATTTCTGTCTACGAAATACTGATTTTCTTTATGTTTCCCCTTTCATTTTATATTCTGTTCTATATCTAACTTGTCTGCAAAATCCTTCTTATTTTAACTTGTCTGCAAAATTCAACATAAATTCTTTCTGCAAAATACAGATTTTTCTAATATCCCCCCCCCCCATCATTTTATATTCTGTTCTATATCTAACTTGTCTGCAAAATCCTTCTTATTTTAACTTGTCTGCAAAATTCAACATTATTTCTGTCTGCGAAATACTGATTTTTCAAATAATTCCCTTTCATTTTATATTCTGTTCTATATCTAACTTGTCTGCAAAGTCCTTCTTATTTTAACTTGTCTGCAACATTCAACATTATTTCTGTCTGCGAAATACTGATTTTTCTTATTTTCCCCTTTCATTTTATATTCTGTTCTATATCTAACTTGTCTGCAAAATCCTTCTTATTTTAACTTGTCTGCAAAATTCAACATTAATTCTGTCTGCGAAATACAGATTTTTCTAATATTTCCCCATCATTTTATATTCTGTTCTATATCTAACTTGTCTACAAAATATACATTAATAATCTGTCTGCAAAATACAGATTTTTCTAATATTCCCCTATTATTTTTTATTCTGTTCTATATCTAACTTGTCTGCATAATCCTTCTTATTCTAACTTGTCTGCGAAATTCAACATTAATTCTGTCTTCGAAATACAGATTTTCCTTATGTTCACCTTTCATTTTATATTTTGTTCTATATCTAACTTGTCTGCAAAATCCTTCTTATTTTAACTTGTCTGTCAAATTCAACATTATTTCTGTCTACGAAATACTGATTTTCTTTATGTTTCCCCTTTCATTTTATATTCTGTTCTATATCTAACTTGTCTGCAAAATCCTTCTTATTTTAACTTGTCTGCAAAATTCAACATAAATTCTTTCTGCAAAATACAGATTTTTCTAATATCCCCCCCCCCCCCATCATTATATATTCTGTTCTATATCTAACTTGTCTGCAAAATCCTTCTTATTTTAACTTGTCTGCAAAATTCAACATTATTTCTGTCTGCGAAATACTGATTTTTCAAATAATTCCCTTTCATTTTATATTCTGTTCTATATCTAACTTGTCTGCAAAGTCCTTCTTATTTTAACTTGTCTGCAAAATTCAACATTATTTCTGGCTGCGAAAAACTGATTTTTCTAACATTCCCCTTTCATTTTATATTCTGTTCTATATCTAACTTGTCTGCAAAATCCTTCTTATTTTAACTTGTCTGCAAAATCCTTCTTAGTTTAACTTGTCTGCAAAATTCAACCTCTATTCTGTCTATACTTAATGTATTAACTTAAAAAAAGTTATTTAATATTGTTTGTTTGTTATAATAATTATATTCTGTCTCATGCAATTACTTAATTAGTGCTTTTTTAAAATTATATTATTATATTTTTTTTATAAAAGCATAAATTATTCTTAAAAAAAATCATCATTAAAACTATTTTTCAAATAATAAATAAAGTTTTGCAAATAATTATAGATCTTTCTAGATGGTATTAAATCAATATAATTGCCCATTCACACCTTTTGACAAGGGATTAAACACCCCCTATATAATCTATATTGTCTGCAAAAGGTCTCAACCCGGTACGGAATTAGACCCAGCCCATTGTAGTCTAGAAAGTAGTTCTTTAAAATTATGAAATGGCCCAATTTAAGTCATCTCTAGTTAGATTGTTCATAATTAAAGTGTATTTATTGCATGTGTGTAGTTTTTGTGTGTTATATGATGACTTTAAAAGTTGTTTTTTGTGTATTCTCCAGGAACTCATTTGTTGGTGGAAGGATTAAAGATGTACTACCCACCAGCTGTCAGGAGTTTTTAAAGTGGTGAATTTAAACAGTGTTACAACAGAATGAAGATTTCTGAAAAAAGTAGATGGCTAACCTATTATATTTTGGGCATCATTTGACTTAGATAGTGTTAATGCTTAAAGTTGAAGACAGTATATAATTCATCAAGAACATTGGAATCCAGAATTAAACCTCAAATTTGACTGATTTACTATAGAACTAATAGTACGAAAATTCACCGGGCCGAGTCCAAGATAAGAAATGTCAAAAATGGGAACTGGTTGATGGATATGGATGAAACTTTGCATCAGTGTTGTGTTTATGAATAGAAGTCAGGAAAATAAAGGATTACTGACAGGTTTGAAAATTTTAAATTTTATTTCAAATTTTAAAATTTGACATTTTAAATTGGGACATATGTTGTTGTTGTTATCTCCCCTTCAAATGTAGATGTCTGCTACTGTGTCAGTAAGCAGGGAGAAAGGTACAGAGCTTTTGCATGAAAGATTAACCACATTTTATTGAATTAAAACTGTAAAAATAAATTTAGAATTAAAAAATGAAATTTAAATTTTGTAAAAAGCAGTTTATAAATTGATAAATTTTATTTTTGCACCCTGTGTTAAGCAATATGCTATAAATCTAGCTTATTTTTATAAGATTTATATAGAAAATGATAATTTTTAGAGAAATGCATATTAAATTATGGATAAATTATGCATTGAAGGAATTGGGGAGTGTGTGGTTTCAGATTGGTTACATTGGTAAAAAAAGTGATTGGCAAGCTCATTCCAGAGCTCTCTAAGGGGCCCAAGATTCACCGGCCATGGGATTCGAACAAGCACCATAGTAGCCTATTGCTCATATGGACCACACATTATATGTTTTGATGTTTCAGCAAAGGATTGATGCTGTAGTAATCAGTATGTAAATATTCACTATTGTCCTGTATTTAGATGAAGAAGAACTAACAATTGAACAGGACAAATGTGATTTATATTTTGGAAATATAGGCATTTTCAGTGTAGTGAAACTTGATGTTTTGCTGTGTTGCAGAATGTATTTGCTAGTAATATATACACATAAAAGATTTTCTAGTCATTAAACAGTGTATTTTATGGATAATTGGCTCATTTAGAATAACACAGTTGATATAATTGTTGTTGTTGTTGTTGTTGTAGCTGCTACAGCAGTTAAATTAGGTTAGGTTTATAATGTCTTAACTGCTATTTTCATGCAGGCATGCATTTTTCAGAACACAATATTTATATAAGCTCTCCTGTGTGAATTAACAAATCTAGCCATTTATTAATTAAGACATTATTTTCTTTCTTTTTCAGATATTAGAATTACAGCATAAATGCCCCTTATAATTTTCTTAAGCATGTACTAGTGTTGCATATTTTTTCAGACCATGCAGTTACCAAAGCCTGGGTTTGAGTATATGACCTTACCTTATCCTGGTAAAGATCTATAGAAGGACTCCTTCAGCTCTGTTTGGCAGCAGCTTTGTCAGGACACATTGAGAAGGTAATAACTTATGTCTAGTTTGAAACTTCAGCTATTGGCGGTAGCGCCTCCCAATGCTCGGGTAATATTTGGTAGTTATTTTGATGTATTTCAGGAGAAAATTTCTCTAATTCTGACTATATTAAGACTTCTCAATGATTTAAAGTGGGGGACAGTATGTGTCATCTTTTTAAAGCCTTATTTGTGTGAGAGTTGGCTAATCTTACTTTGTCAGAAGACATAGCCCATGGTGATATGGTAACCTCTTTGCTAACCTTAAGATTACCTCTGTTTGTCTTTATTGATATCTTAAGCAAACAATGTAGGGTGTGTATGTTGGTTCTTAACTTTATTTACCATGGTATATAGGTAAAAATCATAATCAGTAAGTTTTATTACAATATTGAAGGAAAAAGATTTGAAAAAAGCACATTTAATTGTGATTACTTGTATTTTAACCCAAAATTTCATGCTCTCATTTAAAGAAATTGAGTTTCTATTACAATTTTTAAGCAATAAGGTCTTATTCTTTCATAGAAGTAACTATATGACATTAGCCGGTAACATTAAACTTTATTCAAAGAAAATCCATTTACAGAATCAAAAGATATGACAGAATTTGTAATATAAATTTTTGCGTAAAATTCTATTGGCCGAGCCTGACTTTTCGCATGAAGGTTCATATGTAAGAAATTGTACCGCATTAATGTAATTTGTTAGAGACATGTCAAACCTATATGACTGTATTTGTATAACACTAAATTACTAGGAAATGAGTATAAAGTTTGGCTTAACTTAAATTTTGGATTCATTTAGGTCTCAACCCGGTACGGAATTAGACCCAGCCCATTGTAGTCTAGAAAGTAGTTCTTTAAAATTATGAAATGGCCCAATTTAAGTCATCTCTAGTTAGATTGTTCATAATTAAAGTGTATTTATTGCATGTGTGTAGTTTTTGTGTGTTATATGATGACTTTAAAAGTTGTTTTTTGTGTATTCTCCAGGAACTCATTTGTTGGTGGAAGGATTAAAGATGTACTACCCACCAGCTGTCAGGAGTTTTTAAAGTGGTGAATTTAAACAGTGTTACAACAGAATGAAGATTTCTGAAAAAAGTAGATGGCTAACCTATTATATTTTGGGCATCATTTGACTTAGATAGTGTTAATGCTTAAAGTTGAAGACAGTATATAATTCATCAAGAACATTGGAATCCAGAATTAAACCTCAAATTTGACTGATTTACTATAGAACTAATAGTACGAAAATTCACCGGGCCGAGTCCAAAATCTAAATTCCTTCTTTATTTAACTTGTCTGCAAAATCCCTCTATGTTTAACTTGTCTGCAAAGTCGTCTGCAAAGTATACCGTACCCTCACCGGCTGTTGTAAACCAGTCTACAAAATGGCGACTAAGGGAAGACAATAAAATACAGAAACAGTAAAACGGTAATATCACGGTTGAACAATATTTTAAAGCCAAAATTAGTACTCTTTTATCATATTTTTTGTTTATTGTTTGTTTTAGCGAGTTTTAGGTGCTGTAACTTACACAATAGTAACAAAATCGCCGAAACGGTTCTTGTATTCTTCTTTTCGTACTGTTGTCACTTCGTACCAAGAGGAAATGGAATGCGGATTTTCGTATTATTGCGCATGACAAGCATATGCACTGTTGCTTAAAGCCTATTGTGTAAATTTACAAACTGTGAAATTTGTATAAACACAAATAATTTGTAATTTTACAAATTATTTGTAAATTTACCAGTTTCCTAGACCTGATGTACGTGATACGATTACCGACTTATGAAACAGATTATTGCCTTGCACAAAAAAATCGTTTAACAGTTTTCTCTCATAGAAATATCAGGTAAAAGAAGGACAAGTAAAATGGTTTCCTGCGTGGAACATTTTTAATGATATTAAGATATTTCATTTAACTATTTTCAACATTTTTTGGGGGATAAATAAATGTTAGTACCAGGAATAAAGTTGACAATAATCGATCAATATAGAAAAATTAGAAGATTCTATTTCTACTAGACATTGTTAGCATAGTTTAATATACAAGCTAGTGGTGTAGAATTGGGTAAACTATCATTTTAGTTTTTTAGCATCTGATTCATTTTTCTAAAAAGGACTATTTTTTATATCAGTGTTTTTTTTCACTTTTGGGGGGAAGGGGGTCAGTGCCCATTGGAGGGGGAAAAATGCAATAGGAGGGGGATTTTTATACGGATCTAAAATATTGATGTGTCACATAATAAACTTGTTGGGATACCAGGAGTAGCTCCCCTTACCTATATGAAAAACCTTGCTTAACAGTAAGTCTTACAGGCATAAAATAAAGCATTTTTCGGCAGTTAGGCCAAAATAAAAAATATGTCTGGTTCAGGGAACCCGACCGACCCTATTTTTTTACCGCCGACCCTAAACTTTTTTTTTTGATTTTCGGTACGAAAATTTTTGGGTACGAAAATTACAAATGTGAAAATTTTGTTTCACGATGCCTGTTGAAATAGCCGATGAGTAACAATCTTAAAATAATCAAAAAATATTTAATCTTATATGATCAAAATCAACAACAAGTAGAATTGTGAATGTTTCTGCAGGAAACAGACAAATTTTCAATTGTCACATATTTTCGCGATGCCGCTTTTTATAATTAAAAAAATCGTAGCCAAAAGGAAGATATGTTGTGTTAAAATGTGTGTAATAACACTTAAATATAGTTTAGGAATTAAATTTATTATTAATAGTTGAGATGGAACAGTATGTGTTTGTAACATACAATGAATATTTTCTTTTTTAAGGGAGGGGGGTGTAAGGTCTGATGATGTATGTTTTTTAAATTATATTTCAAATCTTTTCAATCACTTTTATGGTACAGTGTTTTCCATTTGGGACATATTACCATTTTCCTGAATAAGCTTTTTCTCTGTTCAAACTCTGACTCCCCAACCCCTTACTCTGCTATACATCATATTTGTCAACTGCATATTTATATAAGAACAAGTAAGTATCTATACACTTGGGCCCCCTGAAGACCATTTGAATATGTTTAATCTTAATTTAATTATATATACAGTAGCTGTGTTATTTTGGTCCCCGGAATAGTGCATGTCAGATACTCTAAGCTTATAATACAGCATTATCATTAACTTGTTACAGATGTGACCCTTGATCTTTTAATTGTCAGACCTGTCAAATGCAGGTTAGCAATTAGTACAGCGGGTGATTCAAAGGGAACGGGTACATAATAAGCAGAATAGAAAGCAAATTAGTATGAATACAGGTGCTACATATGGTTAAATGACTACATACAAGAAATAAACAACACAATATCACATGCTGATAGTTTATTACAAAATGGTGTTTGCAATGATTGATTACAATCTTTGTGTAAGTATGCTAAGCAAGCAACACATCTATATATGGAAAATCAGACATTCTCCCAACCAAAAAAAAAAAAAAAATTAAAAAAAAAAAAAAAAATCCCTACCCTCCTGATTTTTTGGACCAATGTTTCCTGAACCAGACATATTTTTTTTTTTGGCCTTAGTTGCAAAAAAATGATATTCATTGCAGGCAGATTTGGGGTGCCATATTATAGGGGGAAATTTCAGCTTTGAGGGGGAAAAAAAACATACTATTTTTAGGGGGGAATAGGGAGAATTTCGCCGAATATTTTGGTGAAAAAAAACACTGTATATACATCATATCTAATCAATTTTTATTGTAGCTGTTTTATCTTTGTTGATCTTATACTTTATGTTATATACAGTCGGTTATAAAAGCTCCTTGAGCTTATGTTGTACTGTTGAAAACTTGCCGACTTGAAATAAAACTTATCTTATCTTAACTTATCTTAGAAGAAGGTCTTTGGAAACTAGTGACCGTTGAAGACCTTAGACCGGAGAATGTTGAACATAAAACAATTATTTCTTTTTAAGAAAATGATTAAATATCATTTTCTGAATAATTCCGAGCAAAAAAATACAGTAAAAACACAAAAGTTTACGCAGAAAATATCTCTATTTTAGTATGGCAGATGCAGCTACGAATATTTTAATTTTGTAGATTTTCAGTATAAACAATTTATAGTTTAGATATTAAAGAAATATTGATAATTTTCAAGCATATCTTTCAAGTTTTTCCAACTTAAACGGTAAAATAGTTATAGAAAATTAGAAATATCATGTAATAGTCTTTTGTTGTTAATTAGGTGTAATTGGTAAATCTGTAACGTACCGGCCAGCAGTATTTAGCTAAGTTTTCGAAAAGGTCAATAAACCAATCATGTACGGTTCACAGATCTGACTCATGCTCCTTCATATACCGAAAACAGGTCACGTGCTCCTCCATGCCTCAAAAGTGAAACGGGTACCAATACCCTGCAGTCTTCGGACGGCAGGGAATTAATATTTATAGATTTAGTTTCATTTGATAGTAGTTCCGGCTTCCAAAACTTTATAAGCCGCTATTTAACATCGGGACATAATGATACTTTTGATACAATAATATAACCTAGCTAAACGCTGTTTGTAGTAGCTCTGGGGTATTTTTGCTATTGGCCTATAATAATAATAATATAATAATAATATCTTTATTTAAAGAAGGTTACACTTTAAGAACATACAATAACAATCATATATATCTTATTTCCAATGTGGCCTTCTGAAATAGAAAACAACAACAACAACAGGACATGGATAGGTAGAAAAATGAATGTATAATATGTAATTTTTAGAATAATACAACTCATATACTTTCGACAGACACTCAACAATTTGTTTAAACATATACGTATATTGCATCATTCGATCGTTCATTCATTCGTTTGTTCATATATTTATTCATTCATTCATTTTCTCACTCATTCCTTCATATGAACATCAAGATATGCTTTGTATTTTTTTTTAAAAACATTTAAGGTTATTAACATTACGATTATTTAAAGGTATATTGTTCCAACTGTTCATGCCATAATAAGAAAATGTGTCTTTAATATAATTTGTTTTAGGTCTTGTCCATAATACAATATCTTTTTGTGACCTAGATCTTAAGTTATATATTTTGTTGTCGGATAAAGTCATCAGTTCTGTCATATAAGTCAGTGTCATGTTATTTAAAGTTTTAAAAACAAGCACCGCCGTGTGGTATTTACATCTGTCAAGGAACGGTAACCAATTAAGAGTTTCGAATAGATTTATTGAGGGAGATCTTTGGGGTTGCTGTAAAATGATTTTAGCAATTTGTTTTTGTAACTTACAAACATTATCATATGCCCGAAAAAATTTCGGGCATATTATGTTATACCCCCTGAGGTCCGTCCGTTCGTCCGTTAGCAATTTGGTTTCCGGAGCATAACTTAAGTTCCATTTGGCCCACAACATTCAAACTTCATAGGATGATTGCCCATATTGGGTAGAAGACCCCTATTGATTTTGGGGTCACAAGGTCAAAGGTCAAGGTCACTATCACCTCAAAACTGAAAACAGTTTCCGGAGCATAACTTAAGTTTCATTTGGCCCGCAACATTAAAACTTCATAGGATGATTGTCCATATTGGGTAGAAGTGCCCGAAAGAATTTCGTGCATATTATGTTATTAGCCCCTGGCGTCCGTCCATCTGTCATGCTGTCCGTCCGTTAGCAATTTGGTTTCCGGAGTATAACTTAAGTTCCATTTGGCCCACAACATTCAAACTTCATAGGATGATTGCCCATATTGGGTAGAAGACCCCTATTGATTTTGGGGACACAAGGTCAAAGGTCAAGGTCACTATCACCTTAAAACTGAAAACAGTTTCCGGAACATAACTTTTAAGTTTCATTTGGCCCGCAACATTAAAACTTCATAGGATGATTGTCCATATTGGGTAGAAGACCCCTATTGATTTTGGGGTCACAAGGTCAAGGTCACTACCACCTTAAAACTGAACAATTTCCGGAACATAATTTTAGTTCCATTTGGCCCACAGTGTTCAAACTTCATAGGATGATTGTCCATATTGGGTAGAAGACCCTTATGAATTTGGGGTCACAAGGTCAAAGGTCAAGGTCACTATAACCTCAAAACTGAAAACAGTTTCCGGAGCATAATTTAAGTACCATGTGACCCACAGTGTTCAAACTTCACAAGATGAATGTCCATATTGGGTAGGAGACCCCTATTGACTTTTGGGTCACAAGGTCAAAGGTCAAGGTCGCTTTTACTTTAAAACTGAAAACAGTTTCCGGAGCATAACTTAATATCTATTTGGCCCACAAGATTCAAACTTCATAGGATGATTGTCCATATTGGGTAGAATACCCCTATTGATTTTGGGGTCACAAGGTCAAAGGTCAAGGTCACTATTACTTTAAAACTAAAAACAGTTTCCGGAGCATAACTTAATTTCTATTTGGCTTACAATATTCAAACTTTATAGGAGGATTGCTATTGGAAGGAGGTAATACTTTATTTAATTTATGTAATGTCTTACAAATGCTTCATTCTTTATATATATAGCAAAAACACTTTTGGGCATATAATGCTCCGCCTAGCGGTGCTCTTGTTTTTCTTTTACCCCATATAATACAACAATAGTCCATAATGGGCAATATATATGCATTGTAAAACAATAATTTCATATCAAAGTGCAAAAAATACGATATTTTTTTTCAATAAGGCATTTTTCAGTTAAGTTTTTTTAGCTCGACTTTTCTATGAAAAGGGGAGCTATCCTACTCGCCCCGGCGTCGGCGTCGGCGTTAGCGTTAGCGTTGGCGTCACACCTTGGTTAAGTTTTTCGTACCACCCCACTTTATTTCAGAAGTATTACAAGTATGGCTTTGAAACTTACCATACTTGTTCACCATCATAACC